GCCACTGAAATACTCATCATAAAAAGTTTTTAAAATTATCCTTTTTAGTCATAATTATGCCCGCTTTTATATTTCGTCCAAACTAACATTCATAAAAATAATGATTTATTATCTACTGATTAGCTTGTTACGTATTCAAAATTCGAACTATGAAAAACAAATAAGATAAACTTAAAACAGTCATTTATTTAGTCTTTTTGCATGTACAGTACTTTTAAAAGCAATCAAGAGGTTTTTGCTTTTCTCCTCTTTTTGAATTTCACTTTTGTGTAAGTAATATTGCGATAAATTATTGGAAATAATACCGTCTAATTTACGATCAAACAGGACTAGGGAGATAAGGAGCATACAAAACATTAGTTAGCATTTTGATTTCACAAACATAAAGGTGATTTAGTTAATTTATCATTATCAGTGGCGGCACCATGTTTGGGGCTGAGGAAAGAAGATTTATGATTATGACACCTCTAGATTACCGGAAATGGCACTCTCAGACTAATTCTAATTATAATTTGCCTTTGTTTTTTTCCCATTTTTTAAAAATAATTTTGAAAAAATTAGGGCCGGCTAGGCCCCACTTGAATCTGCCACTGATTATTATGGCGCCATTGCGAGACTGCGTCAACGTAACACTGGAGTTTTGGTAGGCACGGTTTTGGGGCGAAAAGGTTATGGTACTCGGTTTTACACTTAATCGAAATCACATCATATACATCATATCCGTGTTAAAGGTTAAAATTTAAAAAAAAAATACCTATTTATGTAGATAATATTAAACACTAGTATATACGTACGGGTCAAAATAATATACAAAAAGATTAAATCGTTTATAGTAGAAGTTGTGCACTTTTTAGTTTGTAAAAATATTGGCCTAATAAGGAAACATGCTTCCAATTTTAACAACGTTCAGTGGTAGATTGTTTTCACAATAAATTTAGCCTCTGATAGTCGTTGCACCCATAAAATCGATCTAGTGCGTTTCTGAGATGGTTACGAAGTGTTTAAACAATTGCGTTTTTACTCGGTTTTGGTCCGGAAAATACGTACCTCACTTAGAAAAGGTAACAGACAAAAAAATGCGTATTTTTTTATTCTTTCCATTCGCTTTTAAAAAAGAGCATTTTTGTTACTTTTAACCGAATAGTAAATAAAGAGGTGTCTACTGAATAATTTGGAGATCGATCTGCACAGCCAACATTGAAACGAGTCAAAGGTCTAAAAAGGCATTTCCGGTCATTTGTTAGCAAACTGTTTTATTAGACTAAATATAAACATGAATGTTCCAATCAAATTGATACCACAATTAACTCTCTACCACCAGTGGTTGCGGAGATAAGGACACTATGTCTATGACATTGAACATGTCAAAGGTTAGAAAGGGCATTTCCGGTCATTTTTAGAAAAACAAATTTTATTAGAGTAAATACAAACATGAATGTACCGAACAAATTAGCACCAAATTAACTGTCTACTACCAGTGGTTGCGAAGGACTTTACGGCTATGACCTTCAAAACATGACAAAGTTCTGAAATGGCATTACCGGTCGTCTTTTAGCAAATTTTTCTATTATAGGAGATAGAAATATGTTTGTTCCAAACAAATTGTCACCAAAATTTATTCTCTACCACCTGTGGGCTGTCTCTTAT